TGACGTCACCGATTGACCCCACAGTGCAGACTTTTAGGTTAAATTAATTAGCTTATAGTTACTTCCATTTATCTATTGACAAAGTACCAGCAAAACATTTACAAACTATCAAAACCGCTCATCTACACATAAAATGTGATTAAAAGCTAAAACTTTAATTAATAAGAGTTCAAATCTATAGTTAGCTTACCTCTAATAGTTAGCCTCTATAGCTAGTTAACCGTTGTGATGCTAATGGTCTTTTTGAAGACACTAATCCATTCCTGTAAAGATTCAACAGAAACGTGTCAATTGCATGTATGAAAGTGTCAGGAATGGTTGTATGTATTATTTGTGTAATTTTAGCGACTAAACTTACCTTAGAAGCAGTGAAAACAGCAGAGATATGGACTCTTGCTACTTGTCAGCTGAGTGAGGTGAGGCCCCGTTTCCATGGTAACTCCTTCCGCTCCAGTTTAAATGCGTTTAAATTAAGTTTGATGTTAAAACACATCAAAGTTACGCATTTACATAAATAGTACATACAAGTCAAATAAAATGTCCTGAAACTTCATCATGTATTGTTTAAGTGGATAGTAGGCCTACATCAAACTGTAAATTGAATGAGAATATGAAAGCAGTGAATGCAAAACATTGTTTGAAGTCAGTTTATATACATATATACCAACAGAATATACTATTCTATAATATAAGCTATAATATCATATATCATATAATATCATATGAGGCATGAATATAATTTCACATATATGTAAACACATAATTAAACACGCAACATGAGCTTTATGTTATGCATTTTAAAAATATATTTAAAAAATATATTTCAATATATTTAAGACAGTCATTCTTGAGACGTGGGACAAAACAGGTCCAGCAATGGTAATTGCTATTAGCTTTAAAAAATAAAAATATTTTCAATTTTAAATGTCATGATGGATTAATAATAGAATGTATTTAACACAATTATCACCTTCAATTTAATTTTCTCATTATTATACCAAATCTATGTT